TAGTTATCTTTGTCATGCTATGGAAGCAGAAGTTCGGGTTCATGAATAAAAAAGGCCTTATATTTTAGCTTATAAGACAAAATGTAGTAAAGTTGCAACTGTGGCTTTCTTCATTAAAATTTTTACCTGTTTTTAAATTGCGGCATTATGCGGTATTTCCTACTTTTCCTCTTTTTACACCACATTTATCAGTTCTTAATTTTAATTAGTCTTGATGTTGCTGCTATTGGTTGGGCCGTGCTGCGGCCATCTTTATCTTTTCCAAGCATGTTCTTATATAACTTAAGTTTGCAGAAGGCATCTGGTATCACGCATGCTATCAATGGAAGCTTTTCTGGAACGAAGCAGCAGGAAATAGTAGTTGCAAAAGGAAAAATCCTTGAGATTATGCGCGTCGACGCAAGTTCTGGCAAACTATACACTTTGCTTACAACGGAGGTGTTTGGAATCATCCGGTCTCTGATGCCATTTCGCTTGACAGGTGGTACAAAAGGTTAGACCGAATTGAAATCATTGTACCTTTTCAGATTACATTGTGATTGGCTCGGATTCTGGGCGCATCGTTGTATTGGAATACATCCCCTCCAAAAATATATTTGAGAAAGTACAACAAGAAACTTATGGTAAAAGCGGATGTCGTCGCATAATTCCTGGACAGTACCTTGCGATTGACCCAAAGGGTCGAGCTCTTATGGTAGGAGCTGTTGAAAAGCAGAAGCTTGTCTATGTGATGAACCGGGATTCTCAGGCCCGTCTCACAATTTCCTCCCCACTTGAAGCTCACAAATCAAATACTCTTGTCTATCACATGGTTGGCGTTGATGTAGGGTTTGAGAATCCTACATTTGCCTGCATCGAGATGGACTATGAAGAAGCCGATCAGGATGCAACTGGTGAGGCTGCAAGGTCTGCTCATCAGCTGTTAACCTACTACGAATTGGATCTTGGACTCAATCACGTTGTGCGCAAGTACTCTGAACCTCTAGAGGAGCATGCTAACTTC